TACACCACTTACGTATTCAAACACGGCCGCATACCCCGCCGATCCGCAACGGGAGGAAAGTCTCAGCGATAAAAGAAAGAGATAATTTCGCGAAAACGCGTTATCCGCGCAACCTGTGGAATGCAAAGTGCGAAGCAATGCGCGTCATCTTGCTTCCTCGAACGTCGTATCGATCGATTTCAGTCGCGGATGCAACAAGTACTGTCCAGTGACTTTCGCACTCGGCGAATAATCATCGTGAATCGCGCGCGCACAGCGGTGAGAAAAGAGGGAACACTCGATGTATATACGACATCGCGACAACGGGGAAAATTTCAACTCGTGTCGACGAAACACGCGCGGAGAATTGGACGAGACCGACGCCCCTTATTTCGTCAGGAATTCCGTATGCCTTAAACTAAGGGTATATCCTCCGCGGTTCTGTCTCGCTTAATCATTGTGAGAAACGGTCGTTCGTATTAAGGACATAATGGTTCCAAGTTTGCGATGTCAAGGTCGCAAGACGTCTAATTTTTTGGAGGGTCGCAGAATCGTGTACATGTGTACGTGTTGTGTGTGTGTGTGTGTGTGTACGCGCGCGCGCGCTTTGAGAATTTGTAGGGAGCAGTGAAAGTTTGCCGGAGGATAAGAAGAATTCGCGAAACGTATACCGGAACTTGCGAACACGCAAACTTTGAATTTATCTTAACCTGCTGCCGCCGCGCGCTAATCTTACGCTAATTGCCGAAATTATTCCAAAGTTCCGACGATATTTCGGGACGAGGTGTGTGCGGGAGGGAGAATTGAGGTTCCTCTCGAAGGGTGGCTCAGTTAGCAACCTGAAAAATACACCGACGTTCTCTCGTCTGCCCTCTCATTACCGATAACGCCATCGGACTAATGCGGGCTCTTGATGCCGTTGCCCGGCTTTTTTGCCGTTGGTTTGTGTCGGAGGCGCAAGCCGCCGCGGGTAATTCGGCAAATGCGATCGGTCTAGACAAATGAGCGATGTGAAAAACGGATGAAAGGAGTGGAATGCAATCAGGGCTGGAGGGGGGGGGGGGACATGCGCGGGCATGGGGGACACGCTCCTGGTATCGTAAATCGAGGTAACTTTATCCGCTGCCATATATACGCGCGTCCCGGAAAGAACGCCTCGTAAATAACGACGAAAGGACGAACGGACCGGTATTTTTCCACGTGACGTAATTTTGTGAAGTGCGATAAGATTCGGAGCGAGTTCGAATAAAATGCATCCGAACCGTCGTATCAATCGTGACGAATGAACGATCGTTGATGTCATCGTCTCTGCAAGTATAATTTAACTTTGATATGATATCTGCAAATGAGAGTGTTAATTTTAATTTTTTCAAGATTCGCGAATCGCAAATACGCAAATGTGACAATGGGATAACGCGGGGATTTTCTTACATCCTCCTTTCCTCTCACTGAAGTCCGTGAATAAAAGAAATCGCCCATCGTCCAAAGACAACTCTTTCATATTTCGCAGATTTAAGATATATATTCTTTTATCACAAAATTATTATAATACAGGTTACAGGAATAATTAAGAATTATCATTACATTGAGACATCATGCACTGTTTCGATAAGGCGAAATTGTTCAATCTTATTAATGTAAAAGGATTGTGTCAATATATTTGCGCTGATTATACATAATGAATATTAAATGATAATTAGCTGATATGAATATAACAGTGTTGAATTGTTCCATTTCAGGTTGATGTTTTCTCACATCGTGCGCTGTCAGTTTTTCAATCAATTCGCGTCTCCAACACGCGTGTAAATATACATTTTAATAATTACGTGTATTTTAATAATTACTTCGCTCGTGATTCGTATACCGAATTACAAAGTTAAATATAAATAAATTCCAGTTACACATATTTAACATAATACAGGCGCGGTTACATTCAAGCACGGTGAAATAAAGTGAGAACGCAGAATACAACGGAACGAAACTGTTTTGCGGCAGCGTGCCGCGGACTTCGTCCCGTAATTCCTCGCGTTTTGTTTAATAATGACGTAAATATCGTGTAATAATACGCGTAATTTGGAATATTCGCAGTTTGCAAAGAGCGGACGTCTCGTTGCACGGAGTTACATTAGACACACAAAAGAGACGTACAAAAGGGACGCTTTATGAATGTTTTGTATTTACATCAGCGAAAGACACGGCCGCTGTACGCACGTAATCGCATTTTTGTCGGTTGCGAGCACAGTTTGGGGCAAACTGTGCGAATTTCGCTTCAGTTCCTTCTCACACATAAATACTGAATCCGGCCATTGTGTGGGCGGCCAAGGAATTTCTCAAAGCTTAACAATAAACGACTCACTCTACCACCGTGCTACGGTTAATACCGCAGATGTACAGATGCGCTTAGTACGCTTAGTATCCGCCGCTACGTCGCGTAGCTTCGCCATAAGTGCTGTTGCGCCTGCTCGTGAAAGATTTCTTAACTGGTCACGGATATAAAATTGAGCGCATAGCTTAACCTGTTCCTTTGAGCCAACTGCTAACGTTGTGTTGTTGCCTGGGCTTTTTTTATCGTCGGTGCTTGGGGGCACGCCGGTCAACGTGGGGACGAAATCTCGTTGCTTTCAGGCTATATGTGCGAGTTTCATTTCGGCCTTATCGCGATTCCAATATAATAACCGGAGTATTTTCTATACCCTGAGCTTTATTTGAGCCTTTTATCGGCCCTGTCATCTTCGTCACAGGACGAATCATTGCCCGTCTCTCGGAGGTGTACTACGGTCCTCCGTGGCTATTTCGATTTAACGTTACTTCGACGGCCGTGTAAAAATAGGCCGAGTTTATTAATGAGAGATGGTAGTTTATTATTTATTATGCTTTCGTCAGAATAAATCCATTCTGTATAATCAAGTGTTTTATTGGGAACCTCATAATTTACATATCGCAATATGTCGTAATTCAGTATTAATTATATGCTGGTAAATAGCTTGAAATTCATAATAAAGATTAGGGAATAACGGCACGAGTTTCAATTAAATGTATTGATATACTGGTACACCGATGAACGGATTTATTTTTATATTATTAAAATGTTATATTATGCATGAAACTTTATTTTATATTGTAGCATTTATGAAAAATACAATGAAAAATCCGATTGGATTAATTCGTTATTCCCTGCTCAGAGAGAGTAACTAAAGTAGTGAGAAGAATTTGAATTTTATCGGACAGATGGAGAAATAGTTAGAGAGAGAGAGAGAGAGAGAGAGAGAGAGAGAGAGAGAGAGAGAGAGAAAGAGAGAGAGAGAACAAGAGAGGGGGGAGGGGGGAGATCTTCACGATTTTCTCGAAACAGATAAAAGAAGAAGTACGATGAAAGGAAGAAGGGTCTTTACGATCTTGCGCCTCGTGAATCTCGGTTATGAGAATACCGAAGATTCATAATACTGGGGAATAGAGCGGTGTATTCACATGACAAAAAGAGATGGTGCGGCTAGTGAAATTGGACTAAACCCGTTATAAAGTAACGAGTATTTTCATTAAATAACGTCTTCGAAGTAGCAGAACTGCTTTCCTAGCGCGCTCACAAAAGCGACATGCATTATGCATGATGTCTTTGAACTCGGCTTTACATGGCTCCGCGTATTACGCGCCGGGCATTTGCAGCCGAACTTTTCGAAGCTCACCGAGCAGTCGAGGAAATATAACGTGAGCCGTACTTTTGTACGTGTTACTTTAATGAATTTATTCAATAACTTGATTTCCGTCACACACACACACACACACGTACACACGCATAGGTGCTTGCTTCCGTGACTTTTTCTTTTTTTGTTACAAAAATGGAACGGGATAGCGAGGTGATATATTAAAGCCATTTGTTGCGTGTTGGATCTTCTTTTTTTTTTCATTCCCTGAAGCTGACCATCTCTGATTAATAATTATGTCGGGGCAAATCCCTCACGGGCCGATAAGACACGAGATCAAGTGGCCAACATGGGACAATACCCTTCCCTAAGCTTCACAAGACCTCGTGTTTGTTTAGGTATGACCTACTTTTACCCCCCGATCTTTCCAAGGAAAATTATTAACATAAAAAGCAGAGATCGTTCTGAGATGACCAGCGCAAGGAAAAATTGAGGAATATTTTTCAGTGTAGCATAATTTCGCCGGAAAAATTTTCAGTCAAATTTTCAATCATTTGAGAGAATTTAAGCGCAATTTTTGTCTCGTTCACGAAGAGGGAATTTAAAGTCCGCTTATTATACGCGCGTAAGGTCTCAAAGGATTTGATTTAATGTACATAAATAACTCAAAGGAAAACTATAACGAGGGCCATTCGACCTTTTGCTGAATTCGTTTTATATTCTCTTGATTATCGCAATATTCCACAATATATTTTGATGTACGTGCAATACAGAAAATCCTTTTTGCGGCGCCAATTTTACGGTGAAAATCCATATCCTTTTTCTAGCAATATTGAACATATCAACAAAGTTGATGGACGTTAAATGAAGCTATACATGAAATAGATTTTTTTACAGATATTCGCGATAGATATTGAAGAACACAAAAAATTGTATTACGCGATTCTCATGATAGGTTGAAAAATCATAGTGGTGCATGGTGAGCGCTTTACGTTATAACATTATACTTTTCGTATTAAATACATATCATTTTATCAGCACAAATTAGGTGAAGAGTTACGAGAAAGCCACTTTGTAATTTAAAATTTATTCGGACACGCGGCAATTTTTTCCATATTTATAAAAATCAACATGCGCACAGACGATAAAGTACTGGAAGGTCGTCGGCTAAGAATAAGTTGAACAACTAAAAGATCTAATAGTGATATTAGGAGAGAGAAAGAGAGAGAGAGAGACAGGAGGAAAGAGGGAGGAAGGGTGGGAGGGAGGGAGAGCGGAAGGAGGAGAGAGAGAAAGAGAGAGGAGAGGTACACGTTTGATGGAAAAATAATCCATACGGCAAGGGTTTCATGTTGCAAAAAGTTTATTAAACATCTCAGCGCAGCGTCCATCTATAAAGTCGATCGAATCTTATTCTACTTTATTACACATTTCTCGCAGCGGAAAATTTCCGGATGTTCCTCGAATACTTCAGGAGATGTAGAACGCCTTCGTATTTATTATTTTTTTTCTTTCATCCTTTTTCGTGACGCGCAATTTCAATCTTTGCGCGAGTAATTAATTCGATGCCGCTGAGTTGCAACGTCCAATGTCTTAATATAAATTACACAGTATCCTATATTGCGATAAAAGTAAGAATCGACACTTCCGTAAAAGGTGCATATCCAGGCACCTGTCTAGAGATATAGATAAGGAAAGATTATTTCTCGTGTGTGCGACACATATAAAATTTCAAATAAAAATACAACATTTTTATACAGAGGTGATAAAAAGTACCCGACCGAAAGATACATTGAAACGAACACGGTTATTCAATGCGCGTCGAAAAATGTGTTTTTCATCGCCGTGGTATGATGATAAATGGACTCAATAAAATTCAAGCGGAATGCTCAGAATACCCCAATTTATGGAACGTGTAACGTTGCGCGATAGACAGAGAAAATTATTCGCGTTAGATGACGATAACACTTCACCGAGGTAACGTTACGCGTATGCGCGAGGAATTTCGTAAAGCAAATTTGATACGTCTAAAACAGATATCGTGGTCGTCTTACGCTATCATTTAAGGGTTATTCCCTGACAAATCCATGAATCGTGTGCAACAGGTGTATCAAAGATATGTACGACGGAAGATATGCGAGCAGTATTACGTGGCATTTGCGTGCGGACTCGCGTGGGAGATGAAGACTGTATTTGCAAAATAAAAGTACACTTTTTATAACTTTTTAATCGCCACGTCGGATATGTATTTTCGGAACGGCTGAATCCTAGCGGATTTTGCAGCGAATCTTTGGCGGAAATTAAATTTGGAATTCGCATGCTGCTGAGAGGAGCCGCGAGTGCTGCGCCAAAAAGAGCAATGTTTAATAGATAAGCGTGCGCGAGAGCATTAAATACGAAAGCGTGTAAAAAATTAGCATAAGTGAAATAAATGAACGGGCGTAGTTACCTGAAATGGCGTAACTATGTTTGTTTTCCGCACGAAGCTGTTTACCACATAAATGTGCTTTATAGCGTCGCGTTAAGCTTGCCCATGGAGGTGTCCGAAGCGCGTTTTGTCATCTTTATGCACGCGTATGAAATATAATCTTGCGGAATTAGGTTAATTAGTAATTTCCCGGGTGTCGTCGTCTACTGCGTTATAGTAAATTTTTATGGAGAACGAATACACTTGTATTGTATCCAAATATAAAGTGTATCTGAATTCTACCGACGAATTTATAGGGCAGATTCTAAAAATAGATTAAAACGTGTATTGGCGAATATATGTTCGCGAAAGCTTGGTTTTAGATATAGTCTTCAGAAGATGACAACGATAAAAGAAAACTAAATTAAAGAAAGCTTGAAATAATGCAGCAATATTCGAGCATATACGCGCGTTTTTACCTCACGGATGTCAATTGTGTATTTATAAGAGAGGCAGACATTTTAAACAATTTTTCTAACAGTATGTGTCTAGTTGCTTATTTGCGAAACACGATTTAATGAATAAAACAAATTGTTTTAAACTGAAATCCCGGCAGCTACATCGCAGAAACTAAATGTTTGAAGACATATATTTATTTTTTACTTACTTCCTTATGTAGAATCTATCCTGTGGGTTTGTCGGTGGAACTCAGATGCACCCTGTATTTAGAGGATTGAAATGCGAAAATACAATTTTCAAAATATTTGCGTCCACTATCTTGGAGTATTCCGCCTCCATTGAGGATCGATTATATTTTCAATAGTCTACTGACAAATATCAATTTCATGAATTTTGCGGATCGCCAGGTCGCAAGGACGCCTTTACACCCGGCGACCGATTGATTCATTTACACATTTTATACACATAAATATTACACATGTGAAAGATTATACAATGCAAAATCTTGCACTCGCTAATTTGTACAAAAACACCGATGATGAGATTATTCCCTTTTTCCCGCCTTCGAACTGTCTGAGCGCCGCGCGAACGACCGATCCGATGTATGTAATACAAAAATAACACCCGAACGCGCGAAGAGATGCAACGCGTGCCTTTCTCTCCCTGACGAGTTCCTTTTCAGCTTTTTGGCGAGCCAAAACTAAAGCTACAAAAGTGAGATCTGACAGATTTCCAAGTTAGGCCAAGAACGTGTATGCGTTCGCTTTAAACTTCGGGAATCACATTGACACGTTTCGCTTCGGTCGATCGTAAAAGGAAGTTGAGATTGTGCACGCAGGAAGATTTCGATGAGCAATGAGGCGCGCGGACACACGCGGGTTCCTTACTATTTTCTGGGGCCGATGGCCATCGGGGGCGAAATCTCCGCAAGTGAGTGGAGAACCGTCGGGTCACCGTCGTATAATTCACACGACCTAGACGCGATCTTCCTCCTCCAGCAATCGTATCACCTCTGAAACAACGACATTCCCTTGCAATCGGAGAAAAGAGAGATAAAGTTTACGAGTTCGCGTGCTTCGGGGGAACGAGGCCGACGGAGGGATTTCGTTTGTGCACGTGTCGAAACGGCGGAAACGCAGGTCGCGAAGGGCGCGAAATTCGAGGAGAAACGTCGCTGTAAGCGGCGCTTGAAGCCTGCGTGAAATCCAATTGTCCATTGCATCGCGTAATACAATCCGCCTGAGTGTCGAGCCTCGAGGAGTGTTATCGAGTGTGATGTCCGAACCGACTCGGCGTTTGAACCTCAAAACCGTCGAGGATTACCGTTGGATTTTATCGGCCAATGCGGGTTCTACGATATTGCTCACGGTAGATAGACCGATATTCATTCGACCTGCGTCTGCGTTTGGCATGCCAATATTAGGTTTCCACAATAAGTAAGCTCCAAAACGCTTGAGAAACGGTGGGGAGGAGGGGGAGGAGAGAGGGAGCTATTATTAGTTCCAATACTTCGGAGGAACAGCCAATGTATATATACTTAACGCGAACCAGCATCATGAAAGTTACATTACGCGCGAGAACTGCGCTGCGGCAAATGCGCCGGCGGCTCACTACCATTGACTACGTCGGCGCTTTAATGGAGTTGTTGTTGTTAACTGGATTAAACTGCGAAAGCGTCGGCTTAAATTTCAGCGCGTTTCGTGCGCGTTTCGTTTGTGTATTTTTCCCGATGCCCGATATCCGGTTGATGTTAATTCTCAGGCGCGCCAATAGTGCCCGGTTTCGTAAATTAGCGCGATAAAACGACGGAATCTTATGAGAATGGGAATTATAACAGCGCATAATGTCATGGTAATTCGATGCAATCTCGGCCCCGAGTAATATCCACAGACTCCTATGTATTATCAGACCGCTAATTCCTTTATATTTATGTATCAAAAAATGGATCTCGAGAGATACACGGAAAGAAGAACAGTTCTTGTACGGAAAAAATCCGTATTTTCAACGTGTATGTGCTGAAATAAGATTATGAAGCGTTGAATAAAGATAAATGAAATTGGTTTACACAAAAAAAAATTGCATGTAGTTTTACCAAAAATATAATATTCCCGTTATTCAAGAATAATTTCCTCAAGAATAATTTCCTCAAGAGTGGAAAATATTAGGCGGAAGAGAATGATATCTTCAAGTCAAGAATTACAATTTCTTCAATTTGAAATTATATTATCTTTATTGGAATATATCTTTGGAAAAAGAGGATAATAAATTATTGAGAGTTTTTATAGCAACAAATTCTTTGTCTAATTTTAAAACTGACGGCAAACTGAGATATAAGAAGACGAAAGAGAGTATATCAGAGAACTGGATGGCTCAGTAAAAGAAGGTGCCCGGCAAATGAAAAGTTTCGATCCAACAACTCCGGCTTTCGAATTTTCTCTCTGACTTTTATAAGAACCAGGTTTTATATTTAAGATCATTTTAAGTTTATCTTCAGATGCCGGGTCACTTCATCGGCTGCAAAATGTCTGAGGATGAACTTAAACTAAGACGGTCTTAAATATAAGACTTAAATTTTGAAGTGAAAATGTTCATACTGTTGGAAGAAAATTAACGTTAATTTGATTCAAACATAGTGTTAATAAAAAGTCAAAATAACGCGTGCGTAGTTTAAAAGAGGAGTGACAGTTGAAATGTAGTTTCGCTTACGACCAATCAGACGCGAATATCATACTACTTATACGTATAGACATGATTCCATGCATATTTCCCAGATATGTGTTTCGTAGGAGTTGGCGGTCCAGTAATATATAGAAGTTCGTGGCAATGTTTCACGGTATTACGGTAACGCGTGACAGAACTTTGAACGTTATAATTTAATGTTGCCGTGCCGGATGTTGAACGCGTTGATAATAATAAACGGTCAACAGTTGACTAAAAGTTACCTGATCTGGCGGCAATGGACGCTCTACCCAGGTACACGGTTGAGTCATTTCCGCTTAATCCGCTGTTATTGCTAGCCTGCACGGCGTTTCCGGTGGTCGCCAGTGCGATGTCCCTGTGTCTGCAACCTACCCTGAAATAAAACGCGCTCCTGTTTACGCGACTATGTATTGTTCTCGCCAGTTGTCAACCCGTTACCGATTTTTCTCTTGAACATCGAGGTAAAGAGAGAGAGAGAGAGAGAGAGAGAGAGAAAAGGAAAGATATTACATTGCACAGAATTAAAATAAGCAGTTTTCATTTAAAGTATCCGGAAAAGTTTCACGGTGTTTGTTAACGGTGTACCAAGGTGTACCAACGGTGACGCAAATATCCGTATGTTCACTAATTTTCCACAGTTTGCATTTGAAGACACAGAGTAAACCGTGCTTTGCGATCCTTAACGAGCTCGTCTTTAACGAGCGTGTTAACAACTCCCGACGAGAACGGCTATTACACCCTTAATTATACCCTTTCTAAAAGCGGCGGCCACGGCAGCTCGAGGGTTCTTCCGCGAATCTTCCGCGAAATTAATCCCGTCGGCCCAACGGCATAATTCGCAAAGTAGAGAGAGAGAGAGAGAGAGAGAGAGAGAAACATCGCGACTCCTTTAAATCTTCGTGCCGGTAAGACGAAAAAACAAAGTAGCGACGGAAACTATAAGCGTGGCGACATCGTCCACCGGATTACCTCCAACAGCGGTGGCAGCTGAAGAGCTCGAGGAACGCCTGACGAAATTTTCGGTTCATGAAGCAATACGTGATGGGATTGCAGCAACTGGAAACATAGGCCAACAGCTGCACCAGGCTGATGCCGGTGCTGCCGACGACGGTGTACACCAGGTCGGGCGCGAAAATGTACCACGTATTGATTATGTGCAACGGCGCCCAGCATACGAAAAATTCCAAGACTATCACGAAGAGCATGCGGATCACCTGCAACATCACGGGCGGGCGCGTTCGAGATGCAACAAGTACGGGTACAGCTCAGTACTGTCAATATAAGCCGGGGATTAGTCGCTGTGTCCAGATGCTTCTATCTGATACTTAAATTCGGTCGAACTTCCCTGACCTTAATAGTATTTGACCTGAGACTAGCGCTTGAGTATCCTGAAGTAAGTCAACGACGCCTGATCTAGATAACATCTGACTACATTGGGCTAATTGACTACATTAAGCTAACGTTTGCCCATGTATTCTGGTAATTTCATTTAGGTAGCGTCCGAGTACTCGGATGCCCTGAAATTTCATAATTTAATATTTCTTGATTTCTATCTGAATTCTTATCAGGATAACTTAATGGGTACCCGATCTGGATGACATCACCTGTATGAGGGATAACACCTGGATATTTCGATATCTTAATGGTATTTAAATGATATCACCAATTATCTGAATATCAACACTACTGATACCGTCCCGACACGATGTTTTCATGCAGAATTAATAAGAGGCGAGCCCTTTGCAGCGCGCACGTCCCAATAACACAAACGCCATTAGCTCCTACTAGCAACGGATTTGTTATTCTGCGCACGCGACGTGCAAAATTAGATCGTGTACAAATGCGCGATATAACCGGGGAAAATGTCGCGATTTCTACGCTCCCTCTGTGCATTTGTCCCTGTGTATTTGTAAAATACACTAATATAAGATTCCTCGGAACTGAGCCGGCGCTGCCGAGTGGATAATAGAGTTAATACAGCCGTGCGCCGCGGTGCCGATAACTATCTCGACCTGGCGTGCGCACCGCAACAACACGTTTCTTCTATACTCGCTCCAGATTCCATGATTTCCTAGAAACGGGGGACTCGGGTGTGCACGCCGTGTGCAAACCCGCTGTGCATACATTTTGCGCCATGCAAGGCCGCGCGGATAATTTCCCATTAAATTTACGGAGCGTAAATCGCTCGCCCCCAGCCGGCCCGATTAATTGGACGCCCGAGCGTACCTTCTTCTTCGCCTCGATGCTCTTTCCCATGTAATTGCTACGTATCATGTGTTGTCTGCTGAGCGGGCAAATCGAATCCTGTTGATCCTCGTTAGCGGTGTCCTTCCCGTCCCGCACCAAGCATTCGCTTCCGTTCGCCCGTATCTGGATCCTGGATCGCTGGGGCAAATCTGTACCGTGACACTTGCCGGCAAGCACCCTGGAGACCACCGTCCGTTGTAACCGCACCTTTTTTGGGGTGAGAAGCGCGATGCCTCGGTTAACCGTTTCACGTGCCCCCTGAATGTTCTCAAGACAGCGGACGGTTTAATCCGCCGGCCTGATCCCTCAAATTTATCTAACGCCCGACCGTTCTATTGGATCTTGAAATCTCAATTGGCCGAAGGAAATTAGCGACGGAACCGGTCGCTCCCTCGAGTTACAGGCGCCGAGTGCGGTGCGCGCGAGCTTGTATCGAGCGGTGATGAATAATTTACCGACGGTATCAGTATTTCCCGATTAATCGTAACAATATTATTCAATTCGATACGCGTCCATACGACGTGTCGTTTTCCGTCGAGCCCCCATTTTAATTCGATATTTCGGTACTCTAATTGGACATCCAGATGTTTCAATCGGGTATTTTGCAGCGCGATATCGCGTCTGTAATTAATTAAAAATTAACAATCCGAATCATAAATACGATTTTTCTCTCCCCCCCCCCCCCCCCCNACGCCTCGCCTAAAACAGGATTCGTTAATCCGGACTTGCGTCCCAAGGCGAGACTTTGTCGAGGCTACGACGTTTTTCTCACCCTAGACGGTACACCTGGAGGCGCGCCTTGGAAGTGTCCCGAGGAGGACGAGAAGCCTCGCCGCAATCTGGAAGTTGACCCGCAAGCACCGAACACCATCGTTGAGCTTGCGCCGCGATCGCTCGTGTTGTTATAAGCCGAGCCCCGTATCGGCGTGGCGGATCTCGTTCTCTCCACTGTAATTCGGAACGTTTGCAATATCTTCGATCTGAATACGGGCTGCCTGAAAATGAATCCTTCGAAAATTCCGTATTAGCTACTATTAAAGAGAAGAAAGAAGACTCAACATTCATCTCTTTTTCCTCCTCTCTCTCCTGCGTGTCGATGCATTAGTTCGCAGTCTTGCCCCGAGAGTTTTCCCGTTAATACACTTCTTGTTAACTTTTCACCGGCTACGTTTCATTGAAGACCCGCGAAGATAAGCGAGGTCGACGGCGCGGTGGTAACTTTGGGAGATGCTTTTCCGGAGCATTCTATCGCGAGACCGAGAACATGGCGGGGGATTCGACTCGAAAATTGCTACTGTCACATCCCTGTGCGACCGATACCGGCGACACTTCACTTACGTCTTCTGGTACACGTCGATGACTGCCGTAACTCGCGCTTGAGGCCGCGCCAAAGTTTCACCGCTATCAGGGAGTAAGCCAGGCTCATAAACAGCAGGGGCACCAGCAGCAGCGTGCCGTCCAGAAAAAGATTGAACGCCCTTTCGGAGCCGACGCTCGGCCACTCCTCGCGACACTTGTGCCTACCTGAAATCGTCAAGCAGCGTGAAAACTTGTCCCTCTTCCCTCCCCTCTTTTTCCCTCCCGAGCGTTTAACCGTAAAAGTTAAACTGTACGGCCGGCGCGGCAGGAGGGAGGAGGGATCGTATTTCCGTAGGGATTTCCACTCTATATTTACACCTACCGGAAACACGGTTGAAATAGGAGAGCAATTCAACGCCGCGTTTATTCACCGCGGGAGATCTAGGTGTGTGGCCGTTAATTAGAGATTTATTCGCTCACCCTCCACTCGCGGATCGGCTCTCTTTCTCGTTAATGAATGGGAATACCGTGGATTCCGCCTCTCGTTAACTGTCGAACTCGAGATCGGCGCTCAATCGGCGGTCTATCGGTGTCGAATAGCCCGCATGATCACGGATCCCGGTAATCGTACACTGCATTACGTGTTCTACCGGTCGGATCGGACGCCGGAGAAATTATTGATCGTGGCGACTATTGACCGTGGCGAGAGAACATGACTCGTCCAATTTAATCACTCGTGATCTCAAGGCAACGTTTTGTGACGATACACTTAATACAAGGTCCCGCAATGAAAGAGCAAGTGACGTCTAATATCGTGCGAATTTTCTCGGCCGACATACGTAACACGCGAGGAAACCTCGTTCTGGAATCGATAGTTGTTAATGGACGGCTTATTATCTCGCCCTGCTTATGTCGCAATGAAATTTCGGTAGCGTCAGGCAGCGCTTCCCGTTCCTTGGCTGAGAAGCTTCAGGCGATATGCGACGAAACTTCGCGACACAAAGGGCTCCTTTTATAGATACGCATTATCGAAGAATATTCAATATGCTGGAACTCGGACACATTATGTATATGCATAAGCTACCTACGTCGTTGAATGAATTTCCGGGAGAGTGGGTGAGACCGGACGTTAACGGTATCGAATTGAGATGAAAATGTCAAAGCAGAAAATCTGGGTCCCGATTGGCGCGATTGTAACTAATAATATATAACGCAAATGTCATACGGCGCTACTATATACATCACTATATGCGCTCTGTGTGCAAACCTGACCTTTAAATACTGGATTATTTTCGGTGATCGTTTATCGTCGATTCGTTTATCAGCTGATAATAAGTCGGACGAACCAATGAAATTTTACGTGAAATTTTACGTCTGCCAGTCAAAGCTCGCACGACCGTGAGATTATTCCTTTCTATTCGCGAGCCGAAATCTCGATGCTACTTCGATGCTCCTAAGAACAGTTCGCGTTTATATAGATAGCCTATAGACCAATAAAAAAACCTACTTTCACGATATCACACTTGTTAACTTCTCTCTTGAACTTTCAATTTTACAGATTTAATTTTAACGCTACTTTGAAGCTATGGATCCTCTTAATATTTTCAATATTAAATTCACACTTAATACTCAAAACAACGTATTTTGACGCTAAAACAGTGAAAACGGAAATTTAAGACATCTTGTGACATGATCAGAAATTTCAGACGTCGTTTGATATGGTTAAATTCAACATGACTGAAAGATTTCTGCTCCTACTTTGACCAGGTCAAAGTTTTTGACAAATTTTAATACGGTCAAAATAGGAGTAAATAATATCGTGAAAATCGAGCCCGTTTTGCTACCTTCTCCTACTGTTTGTACAGAATTAGAAGTTTAGCGTAAGGCGAAAATTTCGATTCGGGTTTGCCTGCGTGAACGGAAGCGACATGCGATAGCGGCGCGCGCTTACCTCCTTGTAGGTTTTTCAATCGGGACATGACGAGGATCGGTACGTTCCACGTGAAACTCAGAATCCACACGATAGCGATCATTTTGTAAGCGTGGAATCGTGTCTGCCATCGTCTCGACTTCAACGGTCGGCAAATGGCGAAGTAGCGCTCGATCGAAATAGCGACCAGCGTCCAGACGTCCACCGACACCGACACGGCTGAAAAAGCATATCGTACATTTAAATCGTCCCGGATCGCGCTGACTCATCGACCGTTCTTATTTTCAACATTACACACACACATACACACGTATATCCGTATATATGCATGTGAAAATACGCCGATTCTTACGAATTCTGTTTTCTAATCGGCATTTACAATGTCCCATCGGTAATCTGTCGGCGTAGCGCGATAAGAAATTCAATACGCAGCATACGATATCGACAGCATGATCGGTTCGCAATTTGCGCCCCGCAGCCGTCTATCGTCCGGCTCGGAAAAATTCAATGATAGAATCGATTTAACTATCCTCTATCTATTTAATTGCCCGGCGAAAGGGGGATGAGGGATGGGTATATTTTCGAATTTCGATGGATGTAGGCCAACGATGAATCAGCAACAAAGGCACGTTCGCTTGTTAAAGAGAAATATCAGTCGCGCTTTGTCGACAATAGAAAAGTATCCGACATTCAATAACAGGAGGCGAAAGGCCGCAGCCAACTACTACCCGCACCGACGGTGTCCATTGCGAAAAGAAAGAGAGAAAAAAAGGAAGGAAAGGACGAACGCACGTGACGTGCACTCTCCCGCGAAGAATCGTTTTCACGCCAGCGTCGTTTCCTTCCTTGTCGCTTATCAGCTGTGCCGAGGCCACTGGCGGAGGAGTTTTCGACTGGAAAGTGTCGCCAAACAATATCCTCGCCCCTTACGTCTTAAAATGCACAGGGAGGAGGTCTCTCTATGACGAACGTTCTCTCCTTCTCTCGACGCGCCCTCGGACACGATTACGAAATTCTTCCGCGACCCGAGCGCGACCCACTTGCGTATTATTCGGCGTCAAGGCTGTTAACGGCAAATTCTCGCATTTAGAACGGCATTATGAGATCTCATCGAATCTCACTACGGTGGGAAAAGGCGTGATTTCGTGTATCGGTGCGCGAATACGAAGAAGAACGCGCGGAACTGCTACGCAGCGTAAAGACTCGGAGGACAAATTTATGAGAATGAGCGGGCGCGTCGAGCTAATAAATTAAATTTAAATCTCATTTGCGTGGATGCGCATAATGTAACGCGTCGTAAATAACTTCAATTGCATTTAAGAGCGCACGCGGCGGCGACAGCTTACACAGAGGCGAATTATATCTTGTTTGTTGGTGCAGATTTTCCGTTCGACCGACGGAGCTTCCGTGCAATTAAAATGTGCATACGCTCTGATTAATTATGCCTCGTAAACGGAATTATCTCCCGCGATTTGTATTGTCGTTACGTTCGTCCTTAATTACGTCTCGCTCGAAATGTCGTGGGGAATACCGTCGTCTACGTCGTACTCCACGGAGCGAATCCATCGAGCACGGCGCGATGCGACGTGACTCTAACGACAAACTTGATTTTCGCAACGTGAAATCGAATAAAGAGAGAGAGAGAGAGAGAGGGAGAGAGACAGTTAGGAGGCAGTAAGGTTTACGGTGGTTTCTAAAGAAAAAGGAAAAGGAGAAACACAGATAAGCGGCGACGCGGCGGCCGCGTGAGCTAATTCGCTTTAATTACAAAAAGTTAATTATGCGCTTTCGCGGCGGAAAGACAGATGGTGCAAGGAATTGGCCGGGAGAATAATTCGCGCGGAGCTGCGACAGTTGAAGTGAACTAAGTTAAGGGCCGGCGCAAACAAAACTCGCGGCAAATTATCCGTCTTATTAAGCGGAGAGGAGGTTCTTTTCTTAGTTTACACAATATCAAAGAGATATTACGTGATGTTAAGCTCGTCTTAACGAGGCAAATTCCCTAATGGATCATCAAGCTTGAACGTAGAGGCAATTAAAGTAGCCGAGATCTCGGCATCGAGATGGAGCTTTCCCTGAAGAGAAATTTGCATAAAAAAGTGCGGATTTCGTGTTGCTCACGCGTATCAATCGGCTTGATGAATGCGCGAATTAATATTGCGCGGCACGGAGCCCGCTCATTAAGTGGAAATAATTCACGAACGATATGGATATTTCTCACGAACGACTATTCCGCGCGAGCGTAAACTGTACCCGTCGCGTTAAAGCCACGGTTTTAATACCGAGGCGCAACCGCGCGCGAATATGGGCCGCCCCCGGCCGAAACGGAACCGGCCACGCATAATCCGGGCGACAATGGGCGAAAAAGGAAAAGGGGAGAAAAGAAGAGGAAAAAAGCGATTACATCCCGCGCCTACGGGCGCGACAATAAAAACGTCTCGCGAGGAGGGGAAATCCACGGTGCGGCGCGGAAAGACGTATCGCGCTCGCGCACGATTTCAATTTCAAAACAGGATTCGCGCGCCGGAAAGAAAATTATGCCACATACATATACATACTCTGTAGGCGGTGTATCATTCCCGAAGAAGATAGACGAGCCCGGCGTGCTCACTCCCCGGGAGCAAGAGGACGTAGATTCGCAGAAATAAAATATCTTAATAAAGCGACGATCCTCTCTCTCAGTCCTTTTATCTTTTCCGCGTGTCCGAAACGTATCCCCGAGGAATTATGAGACGAGTTTTACGGCACGACGCTTTTCGCATCGCATAATTTTATAAATGTACAGTGTACGGTGAAATTCAGATTCGCGAGAGATGCGAGGAGCGGAGGGTTCGATAGAATATTTTAGCTAGATATTCCTAGGGCTAAACAGAGAAGCGTCACTGGGCTCGATATATCGAAGGTCGCCATCTTACTTGTATGGATACTCAAAATTTCCAGCGGGCTTCCAGCGGTACTTGCATGTATGGAGAAAATATTGTAGTAAAAATAACTACAAAAGCTTGCCATGTTGGATTATACCGAAATTATTGACTAAAGTATTATGCGTGTGTTGTGTGTAGTCTTTAATGATGTAAGTATATATCATTAAAGATTTAAAGCACACATCGTAATTTCAGTCATAATTTCGGTATGGTCCGGCATTACAGAATTTTGTGATAATTTCTATCACAATATTTTCTTCGTGTATTATTCGAAGCGGATGATGAGCAGGAAGGAAGATAAATGAGACGTCAAGAGATCGACTTCTGTAATTAGTCTGAATAGAAATATTCTTCCTATAATCTGTATAATCCGGCACGTCGAGAGGAAAGGGGTTTTATTTAGCCATGACATACTAAAATCGCATAACAAGAATATTATAATTCTCCGGTACGGTGAGTTCCGAAACGGTTCGGAATTTGTTTTCAATGCATCTCAGAACGCAAAATAGTGGTTCAATGTGAGAGAATTCACTTACGAAAATAAATTCTCTTATCGGACTATCGCTTGTATTTCAAACCACATGAAAAAAATCTTCAACCTTACATATTTCATTATATATGCCTTATCACTTCTTAGATCAAGAGTTCATTATTTTTAGCCTTACACGTATACGCGTTAAATTGAAAATCGCAAAATCTAATTGTACCAGTCGAGTTATAATGATTCTAGTAATAATACTTTCGACCTCTTATACATATATATGCAAGGCTAAAAATCGTGCAATTTTCGTTCTAGAGAATGCAAAGCATACGTGACGCAGTGTGTACAGTGTGTTGCGTCAAAATACAAGTTCACAGGAGGACGGACACGGACTCTACGCGGTATGTTCATTTGTAAAATGGTTTGCACTCGGTTTTCCACTAAAAACCGTGATAAAGCGTGCGTAAATCGTTTTCTAATCATGCGTACCGTCAATCCCACGATGATTCCGTCTTCAAACGCGAGTGTCCGCCAGCGAAGCGAATAGGCAACCCGTCGTATCGACCTGTATGTTCAAAGAACGTAACTCTGCGTATCATATGCTCTTATCCATATAGCACAAATGTTGATCGAAAAGATGTTCGAATATCTCTGAGACGTCTCAGGTACGTCTTGTGAACATTTGTACTGGGGTAGTCATGGTCGTTGAGCAAAATAGTACCAAAATAGATCCATATAATTCAGATAGCCCTCATCAAACTGATTCTTCGATGACTTTAATATCTTTAATAAATAACTTCAATCACGTTTCTCCACTTTTATATCTGGAACTCTAATATCGTCTCATCGATAAACAGTGAAGCGCCTCGTTGGTAATACGTAACGTAATGCGACACCGCACCGTTTCAAAATAGACCTTCCTCCCACCCGAGCCATTTAATATTTGTAATTTCCTGGCCCTTGTTCTCCAACTTGTCTCCGATATCGACGTATCGGAAGCGTAGGATACACGTCGATATCGCCGGTGTCGAGACCGAAACCGGTGCATCTGCCCTAGATGCCAACTCGGAAGTGCCGTAAAAGCTCTCTCGCGCGGTGGCACGCACGGTCGTTCTGCTTTTTTACGCGGCAGACATTCGACGAGCGCGATCTCTCGCATTGCGGGATCGAACGATCATCAGCTGTATTTGAATTCCGCGGATGCAACGCGACGAGACTGTTACGCACGCACAACCGGGATTCATAACGCATAACCCGCCTGGAATTTCATCCCTTGGGATGAAGATCTCCGGACGAGCAAAATTCGACTTCGAGTTGGTCGCCGCGCTAACATTGTTCTCCCTCTCTCGCGCGATTACTCCGCGATACCAAATTGCTAAGCTCCGATGGAAGTTGCACACGTGGTGCCGATGCTCGAGATAAAGCACGTTCCAATAGACACACCGTGTGTTTCGCCGAGGAACGAGCTAATGGGTCCGTGCCGCGCGCAAAAGTATCAGCGATAAGACGCAAGAAGTGAACAAACTGACCAACCACAGTCGATTGTTCTCCTTACTACTTACCCCGAGAATAACCGATTATGATTAGATCAATTTGACGGAATATTATTGGCGACATTTTATATGTCGATAAAATTTACAGACAAGTTGCGTCAATTTTATCCGCAGTAACCATTTTGTAACTTAGGCAATGCGAGATATACGTGCAGCTGAAGCATAGCAGTGGTAAATGTGGTACGTGAGATAGGTGATTCAAGATCCCGACTTCCCGGGTCTTGTCAGTGGGTAAGCACGTTCTTCGAACATGAATAATTAATTGAATCGACTAAACGACACACAGTGTACAACAATTTATCGTGAAATAACGTCGGGCAAAGGTTCTACCGCTTACATTTCCCTGTGTGTACCGCGACTTGAGGGCGCGATTCATGACGTCAGCGCGGATATTTTCGCGCCAGGAGAGAGCGAAAGATAAAACGCAAGAGCGCAACTTGAAACTTTTGACGAACGTGCTTCTCACGTGTAGCCGTTCGGGAATATCATCGTTACACCAGCGTACGTTTGCCCGCGTGTATACGCTCGATGTAATTTGCCGGCTCGCTCCGCGAATATATATCACACCTGACGCTTACAAGTCCGTCGGGTATCGCGTTGCTAATAGATTGATCGTCATATCAGAGATCGGCCTAATGGTCAGTATGTTTATTGCGCGTATATACGCGCGACACGGTGGGAAGGGTTGGAGGAAAGGGAAAGGGAGGATTTAAATCATGCGTAGGCGGCGAAGACGAAATGTTCGTGTAAACATCCAGCGGTTTCGCCGGGGAATATTATGCGGAAATTTATGGCCGTAATTCAATTTGCGCCAACTGTAGCGCACCGTGTCGCTACCCACCATTCAGAAATATTGTCGCAATATTCGCCTCGTTCGCGGAATAACAGACACCGCGGATACTTTCGAGAATGTTCTCCCAGCAGTGTACTAGCTTGCGGCCCGCTCCAAACGGCATTATCTTCTTCTCCTCTGGAATAGGAGATCCTTAAAATTGCGCGTAACAGCTGCGATTCCTGCGAGGACCTTCGAATGCACGTTGTGCGCAAAACCGTTGTGTGCGACTTGCCAAAGCCGCGCGTACGTATGTACACGGCGGAGCACTGCTCTCCGTATCTCCGACGGAAATTCGATACCGACGGGGATTTATGTTCGCGAGAACATCGAAAAACATGGAATTCTAAATAGCCGATATGCCGACGTCCGTGACAACGGAGACGCGACGGCGGGATGCTTAATTTCGCGTGGGCGAAACAAGAGCTTTCTGCGGTACGCGCGATCGCGGGATTTCTCGCGTTTTCGCTCATTCGTCCATTCGTGATATTCATCACTTCCTTTCACGAGTGGCCGAGCTTCTTCGCAAAAGACAGGAGGATAAAGAGATGCAATTTGTCCGGCTGAAAATCCTCCGGACGAAGTCTGAGCGGAGAGATTAGATAGACGAGCGTATTTTATCGCAAATAAAAGCGCCGGTCGCGTTCCGTCGCGTAGTCATTCGGACTGGTTTGACTTTGCAATTGAATCCGCGCGTTTCGGACGAGACTCCCGAGGACGCGAAACGTGAAAATTGCGCTTTAAACCCGAATTCTCGATATTGTCCAATGCCCCTTTCTTGCTCACCTCGATCAAAGCGGTCGGAAGAAAAATCGGGGCTGCGGCGAATTACGAATTCTCCCTTTCCTGCTAAGCCGACGCGTGCGCGGTCACTTTCGCAAATTAAACCGGACGTCACGCGCGCGAATCAAATTGAAATGTGTAAGATTTTATCCGCGACGTTGCGCATTCAATTTTCATCCGGCGATTGCGACATAGCTGTCGACCGAATCGACGCTGCAGATTGAAATCAACCACGTGCAATTCGCACAGCGGTGTCGCATATTAGTTAGTACGAACGGGGATACGAACGTTTGGATTCACAGGACCGTCGTTCATTTTACGCGCATCTCCCTTGCTACCCGCTCGGTTTCTCATTTCGTGCCTTCCGCTCGTTTTTATTTTTCCTTTCGTTTACCTTCCCTTCTCTTTCCTTCCATTTATTTCCATGCGAAATCTATCCAGTGCACTAGTACCGTCCGTAAGAAAGGCACTTTACACGTAACGCACGACTATGCGAAACGAGAAATGCAATACGGCTGCATAATTACATTCTTCTCGGTGGAACGAAGGATAAAATAAAAGTCATTTCTTTCCACACGGGAATTCTCACGGCAAAGAAATAACGCCGCTAAGCTTCGGGCGCCTGAGCTTTCGCTCTCACGGAAATGCATATAATTACACGTCGTCATTACATCTATGCTAATATTTGCGCAAAATGAAATAATGAGTCCTCCCGCATTGTGAAGTAAACATCGACTCTGTTTCTCATCGTTTGATATTAATTATTTGGCCACCGGGAAATCGCTCGACGAAAAGCAACCCCGCGGCCACCGCTACGTTGCGCATTTGGTGTATTCAGTCACTGAAATGTGCACATTCGGAAGAGGCACTGCCGTATAACGTCGGTGGACGGAAAACACGCCTGAGACAGATGAATGTTTCGAATTACCTCTTATTTGTACCTGTATCTATCTCTTTCCGAAGAGACCGATACGATGTGCGTACGGAAAAAAAGGATTCCCTAAAATTGGCCTCTCTGTCAGCTTCACTTTTTTAGGCCCGGCGCTTTTTCCAGCACGGATACACTTCAGTGCATTCCAGTAGACCATTAAAAAACCATTCATTCAGAAGATCATTAATGGATATCCATTAATATATGGATAATTCATGATGGAATTAGAACATTAACGCTATCCTATTATTTAGGTATGGTGACATTGAAAATTTCCCATTAGGCGCGTTAATTTTTTAATATTTGTGCATCGTGATTGCTGCTTCGAAGAATCGTTGTCGATTCATAAAATTATTAACAATTATGATACACAAATAACGCTCCTGATTGGAAATGTTTGTTTCCCGATTGGAAATACCGCTGTGCCTAGGGAATGAGGAACATTAATGGAGTCTTCTGTATTACTCAGTGAGCTTTTGCATCCTTGGCATATTTTTTTACATTTAAAAATATATTCCAACTAGACGCAAGAGCTCACTCAGCGCTCAGTGACTCAGCTGTGGTATTGAATCCGCGAATTTAGCGACGCTACATTTACTCGTAATAAATTTCACGCTTAATCGCGTATAAAGCCGAACGTGCTCTCCAATCTCTCTTCCGGCTTGTCGGCTGGTTAAAGATTATATAAAATGTATAGAAGCTTCTCTTACAAGTTGCATGTTTATTTTGTCGATATTGCTTTTTCATACCGATGCAGGGGATTATTGTATTTCAAAACTCCGATTGAATGTTCCTTACATTCCTCGAACTTCTCGGTAAGGAAGTTTTGAAGCATTCTTCATGTTGAAACAGAATGTGCTCTCTCGGTGGCTCCTTTATCTATCGTTATAAAGCCGCAGAGAAATTCTCCGAGCGAATATCGTATCCTTGGCGATGCGAATTACACTCTCGAGAAGTTCCGTCGAACTCGAAGGAAGGCGTTCAGTTTCCTAACTACTCCAATCGTGCTCGATCACGTATCCATTGTAACCTCTGTACGTAGGGTTCTTGAATGGGAAACTAAGCCTGTTATTTGCGAGTAAAGCAAAGAAACGTCGAGTTGTCTTGGGACTTTTATCCCGGATATCGGACGGATACACCGGTAATTTTTCGACTTCATCGGCGAGATCTGTCAATATCCGAATTATTTCAGGGTCTATACAACGCATAATTTTTAACATCTCATCGTTCAAAAGTGCTTTATATCAAGGCATATTCGGGTTAATTCAAAACCTTGCTTTTAAATGAAGAAGATTAGGGAAACGCCTACGCGGGAAAACGTCTTAATGAGAGTTTATGTTCAGTTCATAAAAGCTGAATACCAGCGCGGAGGAATTGGATGTTGCTCACTCAGTAAATCCCTTTGAGGATTTCGGTAAAAGAAATGGCGACGACTAGCAGGCTACTGCGTGCTCGTATTTATAGTCCTTTTACAGCATTAATTTATTAATGGATAGCCATTTCGAGTGCACCTTTTCCCTCTTTTAAACGCTCAGAAGAGCCGAATACCGCGGGAAATGTATCGCGGCTGCTGTTTTAGTGCGGCGGAACTTCTGTATCGGCCGCCTTTGATAAATAATTCTGCGAGATATAATTAGATAAGGTCCACTTCTTACAGGGGACTTTCAGCTTTCACTTTAGTGGATTGTCGTAGTGAAAGGGTCGTGAAAAGTCGTCAGCGTGACTTTCAACAATTATTTTCATCAACCTGAGTAATCCGCTTAATAAATTTCCGACTCGCAAAACACCTTAACTGATAGACGATGAATGTAAACTGTCGTGATTTCCCGGACGTTGTCTGTATCCCATTCGAACCCGCGAGAACTCCTCTGATTATTGCTATAACACGCGACAGTAAAACCAAATTGAACATTTGTTTCCGATAACATCCAAATTTTCTGCATCGGAGCGCAATGTAAGGCGATGCTCACCTTGAAAATATGGTATCAGCTTGCACATTGTGAGACCGAAGATGAAGTTCTTGAGGATCTGGCCCAGAAGAGTGAAAGGCATGCAGAAGACGCCCAGTAAAAGATCCGAGATAGCCTGAAATCAACATCAGCAGTCCTCTCATTAATCACATTATAAACTAATAATAAGAAACTTTTCTAAATGAAAGAGCATAAAATTTGTTAAAAATGTACGTAACGCATATACGTACGTTTCATGTTATTTTTAAGATGTTTTAAGATGTCAAATTAAACAATTTGACATTCTAATTTGTTATTATCTGTGTGCATGTGATGGCCTTAATACTTCATATAAAATTCTCCTTCAAATATTTTCTGTATATATTTTGTTTGGTTTAATTCTGATTCTATAAAGAAAGGAAGAATAAAACCATAAATATTGGTTTAATAAAACAAAATTTTGACAAAAGTTATCAAATATTAAATATAATTTTAATAGATACACGAAAACACAATATTTCTTTCTACGATATTATAGACCAATATATTACGTAATAAAAAGGATTTCAAAACCGGGAGGTGCCGGGAATAATAACAATTATTAAAATGTTTTAAAAATTGTAATATAAAAATCTCACATCGAGTTCAAACAATATAATATTCGTTATAAAAATATAATAAAATGATTTATGTATATATTTCATTAAAATACCTGAAGATATTGTTTTCATGCCGTAATGTAATAACTTTGGAAATTTCCAATTTTCAGTTATATTGCAATATAAAATGGCAATATGTTTCACGCATGTACAGATGGTTCTTTTGTATGTTAAGCTTTGACGGATAATAGCAATGACAGCGTCAATCAAGATGACAAATATGTATCAGAAACGTACACATTAATGAGTTTTCTGTTATATGTATACGACATGCTTCATTTGAGATTCCGATTTTTTTATTTTTTGCCAGGTTTGGTGGTTTTGGCCCCATTGTGCATCATACAAGTAAACGGCTTCATCGGTTCTTTTATTCGTGCACTCTCAATTTGCGAGACTACAAAAAAATAGGTTTCCGACAATTCTGATCCAGGTCGATTCGATCATCAGCAAATAACCAGACAATAGTTTTTCTCTTCTTTCTCTCTGTGGAAAATCGCGCCGCGCGGAAACCTTCAACTTTGTTCGCAGCCGTAAATACCTTTGTCGGAGAACGAAATTTCTCGAGTCTCCCGAACATCGTTGCTTCTTGTTAAGGTCGATCTCCGTGATACTACGTATTAAAGTGCGCTACACGTTTAAATTTTCATATATCCTGTTAAACAATGGCGAGCTTGATGAGCAAAAACGTCAGCTACGTCTCTCAAGGTATGACCAACCGCCAAATTCCATCGTGCGTGTCTAAAACGCGAGTCGCGCAATCAACATAATTTCGAAAGCGTTTGCAAAGCACGAACAAAGTCATCCTTCATTATCCTACCAACGAGATGAAATATGCACAGTGGAAGTGTTTTTTATAAGGACGAACGGCAATGAAAGATGTTACACAGCGGAGTCTTTATGCTGCTGTCTGGATTTAATTGTTTCGCTTAATCGAGACTGTTAATAATAGCAGCGGATATTTCGAAAAAATGCGTGTGTTTCATCGTGACAAATATCAACGCTTGTATCAGTGCTCGGGCCAGCCATTTCTCTTTATTTCCCCATCTTTTATTTCTTACTCCGTCCGGTATCCTTTTCGAAGAAACTCGATGAAAAATAGACTCGAAAGTGACGTTGCATCGTGAAAACTGTAATCCCGCCCTGTGTTTGTATTTGCGAAATATGAGTTCCGCGTTGCAATCGGCACGTTCAATTGCCAGCACACGCGGTGTATCCCGCGGAGATTTCACGTAATACACGAATTGTAGCTTACAGAGCTAATATGAGCTAATATGACCGCATCGCGATTCTACGTGAGATCGTTCAAATATGTTATTTGCCGTAACCTCCCAAAAAGATTTCGAATCCTCCGGAAATTTTGTCGGAGAATCTCACGAGCTTTCCGGGCTCTCGTTTAACCTCCTCAGTCGTGATGTATATTTGAAAAAGGGAGAAATAAAGTATCTGGTGTTTCTCTTTATCCCGTGCTGGCTTGAAAAAAGTTGCACAACGTACGATGAAAATGCGGTCCGGTCGCTTTCAGCTCTTACGGCATCACGGAACATTTATTTTGCAAAATCGTATTACACGCAAACGACAGGACCGACACCCATTTTGCGTAAATAATAAATAACATCGAACTAGAATATAAAGAGAGTCCCCCCAGATTTGTCGTTGATGAAACCAGTTTCTCGCTTCTGTTCCTGAAATGTCAGCGCCGTTTCCGCTAAGTCGCAGGTCCTTTTCAATGCGTCCCGGCTTTTCGGTCGGTTCCGCGTATACAATTCCCGCGAAAGTTTTCGCCTTTCAAGATATCGACCAAAGTTTCATATTTTAGAGATTGTTATTATGCTAAATGCGCGACACTTAATACATCGCAATTCGCCGTTCACGGCGGTGTTCTTACGCAGACGAGCGACGAATCCTTACGGCGTTACTCTCGAATATCGAATACCGATTCCCAGCTGCCGCTTTGAAATAGCATTTATACGCATTTCTGAGTTTTACAAATATATATCACCGCACATGCGCGCCGCAAATATCGACCTACTTGCTATGGGTGACTTTTTGAGTAACATATTCAAACCATTCGAAATATTTTCACATTAATGTCGCAGTTTCGGCTGTCCTCTATATTATTTACTTAACTCGCGGCCGTAAATTTGTATTTGCAATGAAGGTTTTACGTTGGAAATTGCGATATGTCGAATGCGCAGTGGCACGTAAAACGCGGATGTTTAAAAGTCTAACTAACCCGCCCATGTTAATCGATTTCTGTTCGGTACAAATACTATTACGTGTATCGTTCTGTTGACCTTCCCGTTGGTTCGTAGTGAAATAAATAATTCCCAGCTGGAATCATTTAACCGAGGAGAGAAAATCAAGTTTCACTCTACGCTATATTGACCTTCCCGATCGGACGACAGCGCGCATTTGAGGAGCGGGAAGAAACGCGAAAGCGTCGAGTGGGCAAACAACGTCTCGAAATCCGGAGTGCGTACTTGTGTTTCGCGCCCGCACCGGGAACACTTCTATGGATTTCGTTTCAGGAGCAAAGACTCTATGGAAACGGCTCTCTGTTGAGCGGGCGTCTGTTTAATTTCTGCTGCAAAGAGAATTATCCAAGATTTAGCTAGTCGTCCGCTCGCTACGGATAGCCGACGATTCATATCTTGTAAGTTAAAATAGAGAAACATCTCTCTAGTCGAGGCGAACATTTACGGAAATCACTTTGTTCAATTCCTTTGGCAATAGTGCTCTTTATAGGCGCCTTGCAGATTCGCAGAGATGGAAGAAGGTCGATGTTTCATTCGAGAAATTGTCAAACAGTTTATGTCGAATAAGCAGGCGTAAAGTCCGGTTTGCGCGGAGAAACGTAATTTTAGTCTGCTGTTACCGGAACGTAAACATATTTTAGTTCAACGCGTGCCTAAAATTAATTGGCGGATTAGAACGTACAATAAATGTAGAATTATTCTAATTTCCGCGCGCCAACTAGATTCACGTGGCAGCCGTAAAGAATGTTCCTCGCTCTCCGCGAAACCGTCCGAGAGAAATGTCTCTTTCGAGCGTGCAATCACAGATTCCTTCAAGAGTCTTAGCTCAACAAGAGCTCCGGCTCAATTAGTATCGTAAGCGTATAAGCCCGTAAGTACACATGAACGTATCCAGAGCGCATTGTTTCTGTCTGAAGTGACGTGAAAAATTTCTGTTTTACTTATATTAGAAATCTCTAATCTTATAGTTTTCTATTTACAGCTTTTCTATCTACAATATTTTTCTATTTTTAGTTCACCGTGAATTTTCGATAAACACACAGCGATGTGAATATAAAAAAAAAATCCGTCATTTTTGGTAGACACTTGTTAACTGACCCCCACGCAGCCCGGCGACCTTCTGTCAGAGACAGACTTGAACTTTTATTCCACCGATAACTGCGAAATCGATGATGCGTTAGAAGAGAGAAATAGAGAAAGGGAGAAAGAGTGAGAGGGGGAAAAAGAGAGGCACTAAATTAGGTCACGTACCGGATATCTTGATTTAAGTTTTGGGCAAAATCGTGGCCCACGGCAGTTGAGTTAGATCGACCTTCGGCAGCTTTCATTTTTTTTTTTTTTTGATCGATGGGAGCAGCGGCACAGTATTTAAGCGATCTCAACTTTGACATTTTGCTGTGCGTAACGTATGGGAGGATATTTCTTTTTTTATTTCACCCGTGATGACAGTAAACCGAACGTTGCGCAATAAACACTTTACACGTCAAACTCTAAACGTCCTTACTTGGAGGACATCCGAACTGAACGACGTAAGGGGGATGCAATTTTCGCTTACTTTGTCTTACGATTTTGGAATATTCGTTTAATCCCTGTGAAACGGCGATGTCACGTTTAGAAGACCCGATGGATATGTATACACGCATGTGTGTGTGGACGCGTTATCGTTTTTTTCCCGTTCTGTCAATAATCACATTCATCTCGCTCACGCGTAAATAAAAGGAGTATCATATGATAGGTTCAGTCGTCATATTTTATTTATGATGACTATTTGACACGTATTCTCGAGAAGTCTGCGCCTGGCATGTGATAACGGGTGGACGACAAAAGGCCATCGTGTTGACGGATTCAGAGTGGACAATGCTATTTGCGATGATCCATATGAATAGCGGCGCCCTTTTAGGGCGCGAAGCCGCGAAAGCTTGCTATATTCTAAAATTTTTTTCACGCAAAGAGACCCAACCTCGCCAGCGCCGTTGATTGTATATACTGTCAGGGCGGACAAATAAAAATGCAGAGATCATGAGAAGTATTTGTGGATTGTAGCGGTTTAATTCACGGACCTACGTAACGAGCTCACGAGCGCCCGAGTTTTATACCGTTCGTGTGTTCCATCATAATATGAAAGGCACAACTAAATCCGGGAAATTAACTTTTATCGTTCGCGCAATATTTTACGCATTTACGAGACCGCATGAAATATTTTATATAACTGATAGCAATCGCTGATTCCCTTACGTGATCAATTACATCGAACAAATATATGTTTCATTTCTCTCTCTCTCTCTCTCTCTCTCTTTTTTTAGGAATCCGATTGCACGATTTCATTTATTTCCTATTTCATTTAAAGGCAGCGATATTGCTGGGCAAATCAGTATCGGCTCGATGCAGAGAGCGTCGGGCGATTCGACTAATTAGACTTAACCGAGATCTACTAATCTAATCCGCGAATCACTGATTGCTCACCGAGTGTTTTCGCAGAACATCGTTCGGAAAAACAAATAAAACTTACGGCCCATTCAGTCGATGATCGCACAACCGACGCACTAATATCGATGCGCGAACTTGCACCGGAAAGCGCCATTGCCGTTTCTTGTAATCTACCATATTATACAGACGAATACGGCAAACTCTCACGGATTATGTTCATCGACCATACAACCGGAAGGGAGATGTGCTTTCCGGCGCCACGCCGAAGTCTGATAAGACGCTTATCGGGACGATGAGTTTATGCGAGTCTTCGCTCGGAGAGGAGAATAGCGGAAATATACGGAGCGCGGGTGAGAAAATATTCTGCAAATATATACATTATACACGAGTGGATTCGCGGATGGATTTGGATCGAATGATGTTACGCAAATTGCAAACGTCGAACGCGAGGAATGATATTTTGTGTGGTTTCCATTATATATTTCTAACAAAATATCATCGCCACCTTTTCCGACGAAATACGAATATACACGCTTGAAAAACACTTGAGGAATAATTTTCAGGCAGCCTCGAGAAATAAGACGCGGACTATATCGAGTTCCCCCTTCAGCCGCGGGAAAAGCTCGTTAATTTAGCCGGCGAAAAAGCGATTTGCTAAACCGTATCCCGTAATGCGTATTCGTTACAGTTAGCTGCATAAAATTACCGCAAACTTTTCAAATTGCGTCCGCCACATTACAGCGTGCAGGGACATTTCTCGCGCGTGGGAGCGGCATTTGATACGACGGGACCACTTACGTCACACTTTTAATCGTGCTGCAAAGAGCCCGCTTGAAGCGCACCGCAATTACAAATGTTTCCTCGACGTTTTACCCAAAGATTATTCTCGCTTCTCAAGTTTCGCCATTATAAAGGGCTCGAGGCGCTCCTTCTTTCGTTCTTTTCCTCTGGTTTTTTTTCTTTCGATTCGAGAAGCGTCACATGGCGGACGGCACTTATTGACGACACGACAGTTATTGCGAACTTTTTCCCTCTAGTTTCGCGGTGAAACGCTTCGGACTAAATAACATTTATGTAAAAAAAGCACCCACAACGCCTGCAGTTTATAGTCCATTATGGGACGACGCCCGGTGCCGTCTTGATGAAAGGTCTCTTTGATGCAGAGGGCGGCGGAATGATCCTTCTGATACATCTCTTGATATATTTCATACGCGAATACGCAGAGCGAGTGTTTCGCTTCTGTCCGTCTGCCCACGCAGGACTCGTGATGCTTCCGCCGAAAGGAAATTACACCTCAGCTGTACACACCAAGCTTCAACAGAACCTCAACATTTACCAGGTCAAAACTCGCTGATCTTTCTAACGTCTGCCTTATGTTTGTGGATATTCATCATATATGTTAGGGCTGCTTTTCATTGTTCGGACAATCTAATATCATTTCACATTATATCACGTATTATATCATATCATAGATTAGCATTATATATAAAGGATGTCCCAGATTTTCCCTGTGACAAACTGCAACATTATGTTGTACGAGCTGGAATAAAAAAAAAAATGTTACATAAACGTAAACACAGATCCCAAAACGCTTTATTAAAACGTTGTGGCGAAGATATGAAATATGTAAGGGACAATTTTTCACGCTAAATTTGCGTTTCAAAGTGCCGCACGTATGTTAGCACATTGCGTACGGGTGACGAGATATCTCGTCTTCAGCAAGCCGAACGTCGTCGCCGGGCGACGAGATATCTCGTTTTCAGATTTCTTCGACTTAATCGATGACTTAAGGAATTAAAAATAGATTTTCTTGTTACGTTACCAGGGTAACGAAGTCTCGCGCATTCTCGAAACAAATGATCAGCGAATAAATGAACGCCCTGGAAGCGTGTTGAGCGAGTAGAGTGCCGTACGCAATGTGTTAATACAAAAGCTTGACATCGATGCAATATTGATTTGGTCGCCCTAGAAATTTCGTGCCGATTTTCTTTAATCTCTGCGTCTTTGTGTTTAGCTTACATTATTAGTCGGGAACGATGAGAAAGACTGACGAATTTCGGTCCGGCGAATGATTCGAGTTTTACTGAGAAGCTCGGTCGAGAAGTACACGAGAAAGGGGAAGCGCTTTCGTCTCGCGCGCGCGTCGAAGACGTAC